TTCAGGCCCGTCCACATAGAACTTTGGCGTTGCGTTGGCGTTGGCGTCGCTTCAACAGCTGACTATGAATACATTAATTCAAATGCAGCCGTCCACATAGCCAAAATTCGACAACGCTCACGCCAACACAAAGCAAAAAGATGGCCAACTCTCAACTTTTCGCGTGCGTCGCTCGTCAGCTGTTGCGAATAAATAAAATTATGTGAAATATTTTTCCTTTTTAATCAAGTTCGGGCAAGAAATATCGTTTTTAATGCAATTATTGATATGAAATGTTAATTTATCTGTCGTTAATATGTTAATTTAGTGGCCCAAGGATTCGCTGCCAAGCGTTCATTGTAGCAAGCACACTTTTAACGTGCGTTCTGTCAAACCAACGCCAACGCCAAAGCCAACGCGAAAGTTCTATGTGGACCGGCCTTTCATTTTTAAATTTTTACAAAACAAAACAAAATGTTGTACAAAAGCGCAGAACAAATTTTGAAAGTTTTTTTAATTGTAGCAAAATTGCGTAAATTAAGAAGTAAGTTACGCTCAAAGAGGAGATTTTGGGTGCGAAAGTTGTACTTGGATCGACAAAAGAACGGACTGTTTGAAAACGCATTAAATAAACTTGCAGAAGATGAAGAGCAGTTCAAAAAGTCTTTGAGGATGTCTCTCCCCTGGTTCAATGTGCTTCATGAGTTGCTGGAGAATTCATTGAAAAAATTATCCATCAGGACTCCGATATCCTCTCGTTGTAGACTATTCGTCCCCAGAATGGGACTAACAACCTTCAGGCGAATAACACTGGAAACATGCGATATAATATGGGATTTGTTGGCAGATCTCTACCTAAGCATACCAAACGAAGCAGAGTGGAGTCGTATTGCAACCGAATTTGAAGTTTTGTGGAACATGCCGAACTGTATTGGTGCCGTGGATGGCAAACATATTAATATAATTTGCCCCACGAATTCTGGTTCCATGTACTATAATTATAAGGGAAATATAGTATTGTTCTTTTAGCAATATGCGACGCCAACTACACATTTACGTGTGTCGATATTGGTGCTTATGGTAGCCAAAGCGACGGTGGTATATTTCATTTTTCGAAGCTAACAGAGGCTATCGAAAACAAACACCTCAAATTTCCTCCAGATTGTCCTTTACCAGGGGAGTCAGGGCCATTTCCGCATTATTTAGTTGGGGATGCGGCATTTCCTCTTCGACGCTATTTGATGAGGCCCTATCCGGGTAGAAATATACATACTGAACAGGAATATTTCAACAAAAGACTTTCGCGTGCTTTAATTTTCAAAAAGCACTAAATCCTAGTGCTTAAAGCACCAAGTTGGCAACTATGGTGTCCAGACTGTTTTAAAAATAAACGCAATTTCTGAAAAAAAAAGATCGCCAATTAAAATTCGCGAAATCGATTTAACAGCCAGTTCGAAAATGCTCTATCTCAAAAAACTTGTAAAGAACGCCCTATTTCAGAATTTAGTTGGAGAACGTCCTATTTCAGAATTCGTTCCAACAGCGCCCTATCTAAGCTGCCGATTCAGAAACGCCCTACACATACAATACATTTTGAAGTGAGATAGGGCATTTTGGAAGCGATTTCTGAGATATGGCGTTCTTCAACCAAATTCTGAGATAGGGTGTTTTTCAATAAAATTCTGAAATAGGGCGTTTTTGAAAAGTTTTTTGAGATAGGGCGTTTTCGAACCGGCTGCCGAGATAGGTCGATCTTCCACTCAGCAGTCGATATGTAACATATTAATTACTACTTATTATACTTACTTTGCAAAATACTTATGCACGAAAAATGCAATTTATAAATTTAAATTACAAATGTTTGATTTTTTGAAAAATAAATGTATGTATATGTACATGTATTCCAACTCCTTAGGATGGGTTACATTATTTTTTCTTTAAAGTGTTTGGTTTTCTTACAAATTATGAGATGGATACGCAAAAAAAAGAAAATTGGATACATTTGAATACACTTTTGGCTAGGTCGGTGTACATTTTCTTGAGACGGCGCGGCAACACTGTTTATCAGTTTAGCTTTTACAAAACTTAAAATTTTTTTATTGAAAATCGCAAGTTAATTGCCGAAACGCCGCCCTAAGAGGATAAGAAGATGAATGAAAAAACTGAGTAGGGTTTAAGACAAGCGGATTAGAGGAGTAGATTTAAAATATTAAAATAAAAAAACCGTGCTAAATCTACTCCGATTCGAGTTCGGGCGTTGGATAGAATAAAACAAATGTCATGCGGTTTTTGGTTTTTTTATTTTTTGAACTTTTTTCAGTTTTTAATTTTATATTAATTTTTTTGGGGTTCTTTCTGATTTAATTTTTTTTGTTTAAAGATTTTAATTTGTTTTTGTTCATATCTTGCTTTTATAACTCATTGTTTTTTGTTTACTTTCACATGCTTTGTCGTTAAACGATTTGATTAAATTGATAGTATGTACATAATTATTATTTTAGTGTAATATATTTAAGCTTATGAAAAATATGTTGTTACGTAATTTATTATTTTACTATAAATTAATGACCTTTTGCAAAAAAGGCGCAGAAAAAAAAAATAAAAATTAACTGAAATTGCAGATGGATAAAAATTTCGGCTTAAGTTGAATTGAATTATTTTACCTAAAAATGCGCAAATTTTAAAATTAAGCAAATATTATTATATGTATGTATGTATACCTAAATCGTACTGTATTGTTTGTATTTCCTTGCAATTTTCATACTTTTTTTTTGTTTGTTCTTTATTTGATTAGTTTTTCAAATTTTACTGTTCATTAAAATCTGCATTTCTTTCAAAAAAGTTTAGTTAAATGTTCTGTAAGTAGTCTTGCATATGTATGAAATTTCAATACATTTTTTTTTAATTTTTAATATTTATCAACGTTTTTTATTATTTTATATTTTGCATTTTCTCGTAAATACTTTTCTTTATGCTTATTCATATTTAAAATTTATATACAACTTGCTTCTGGGTAGATTGTTCGAAATGACATTATTACCAAATAAGTGCAAATTCGGTTTTGTATTACATATTCTTCTGAAACACTTACATACATTTTTTATTTTTTCCAAATAATATGTATTATTTTTTTTATTATAAATTGCTACTTCTAAAACTTTTTTTTTAATTTTTCATAAGCTCTTTCTGTTTTTGTTTATAATTGTTTATAATATAGTGTAATAATTGTTTATAATATAGTTAGGTACACTTTTAATGTTACATGCCTACATAGTATGTATTTATTGACAAATGTGAATGCGAGTTACATACACCCCCACTAGAAAAAGTAGCCTTACACGGATTTTTTACAATAGATATTCATGTTTTTTCTTTAGCAATTTTTTTTTATAAAAAATATAATTCATTCCATAATACATATAAGCTATTTAATCATAAGTTTCAAACTTTATCGAATGCTAAAAAATTTTTATATGGAAAAAAAATTTCAAATATTACCGGATCTTGTAGCTACTTCAAACTTGCACTTTATTACACTGAAATTGAATGGGCTATAAAACTGCATGCCAATTTTTCCCAAAAATGTGACAAAAAATTTGGAAATTTTGCTGAAAATTTTTATAAATTTTAAACAAAGTTTGAAACTAATTTATATTATAGAACGAACTATATTTTTTATAAAAAATAACTTTTTTTTTATGAAAATCTTGAATAGTGTAAAAAAATCTGTACTGAAATGTTTTAAGTGGGTGTACAATGTATATACATATGTATTTTTCTACTTTTATGCAGTTGCTTAGTAAATTATTTAACCGTATATTTAAAATTCTTGCAATACTATGAGATTGTCGGAAAGTATGGACGTTTCTTCTGCATTTGATGCATAATTACATATGCATATGTATGTTTTATAAATGTCATGCAATTGTTGTTGCTTATGCAGTCATGTCAGCTAATTAATTGATTCCATTATCTACTATATTTGCGTGTCCTTTTTGTCATTACATATAATTAGCAATCAAAACAAAAAAAAAAATACTAAAGTTTCTTAAAATTCAAACAAAAAATAAGATCGTTTGGTTTTATGTGAAGCAAATTGCAAAAAATCACTAATCTTACGGGGAAGAGTATTTTTTTTTTAATTTTATAACATAAATTTGTATAAAAAAGTCAATAAGCCATTAATACAGGCTTCGAAAAATACTTCTCTATTCCAACAAAAAGCAAAGACGGGCGGCAGTGTTGATGCGTATGAACTTTTTAATTCGGACTTATCTCGGTAATTAACTGCAGTTGATCTGGATTAAGAGCATAACTCCACACCAAGCCTTTTTGGGCGTTATGGCTTTCAATATACAACTGAAAACGCCGTACAGTGTTTTATTTCAGAAATAAATAAAAAATTATAGTTTAAAAAACTAAAACCTCCCTATTATAATTGCCATTCGTACTGTCATTCGATATGTAACTTGAGAATAGAAATCGCTGCATCTTTTAGGCGCATCAATATTACATAGTTACATCCCGAGCTAATAAAAGGAAGGTAAAAAGGAAGATAATAAAAAAAATTAGTAGCGTAGATTAAAAAATTACGTTAACCTTTAAAATGATCTTCGATAATAGGTTTTAAATTTCTTCCTTTTTGACCTAAAGCCGGTATGCTATCCTTGCATCACGCTATCTCTTTCCATGGTCGCAAGAACTAAAATAACGTCTTTTATTTTTTTTTTTCTAAAAGTTCATTGCATTCAAAAATTTTACTTTTGAAGATCGTTTTTGAGCTTGAAATTACTTTTTAAAATCAAATTGAAATGCGGTTTTTGCTACTTGCTACCATGGAAAGGGATTCCTTGACACAATAAGGGTATTCATCAAACCTTAAAATTATTTTTATTGTTTTTGTTTGTATTTTTTCATTGTATGTATGTTTTATTTTTGTTTTTTTTTGTGTTATTTAACATAATTATTTTGAGTTAATTAAATTTTTTAGAGTTTACTTTTATTTGAAAATATCACAACGACTATAATTACGTTTGAAAAATAAAAGTAATAATTGAAGGAACTCAAAAATTTTTTAATAAATTTTTCTGACCTACTTAATACGCAACACTGACGTCTGCCAGGGTAGAATTTTGCTCAGATCAACTGCACCGTTAATCCGGATTAACGTCGCCGCCTGTCTATGCCTTAGTGGAAAAAGAGAGCGCAACATATTGGGCCCTATATTGAAAATATATTATAGTCGCTTTATGGGCCAAAGTTTCGCAGAAAATATCGTAAACATAGAAATATAATATGTATATATAAATGCTTACTAAGCTTAATTTACTAACAGATATTTTAAAGTTTTATTTTTTTGCTTTTATGCTACATGCGTGTGCATGTATCTAAATTTTATATATATTTGCCTGTGTTAAAACTAATATTAATACTTGTACGTATGCATATGTACATATGTATGTATTTTCTAACATTCCAGTTTAAAAAAATAGCTTTCATAATAGAATTTTATACAACATTCAAACAATAATTAATCGCTAAATTGATACGCTTTTTAAATTTCGCTAAATTATTATTTTTAATTAATGGCATACATATGTATATGTATGCATGTCATATTTTTTAATCCAACCAGCTGTGCCACTATACACCTAAATACAAGAGAAAGCTTCAGACGCAAACCAAGCAAATCTACATACATAAATTAATTGCCACTAAATTCTTTATATATAAATTTAAGCTTTCGCAACAGCTGTCGTAAAACGTTCCTTTTCTTCACTCCTTCGCTTTGTTAGTCAATCGCGTGCTGCAATGGCCACTGGCGGAAATTGACGTTCATCAAAGAGTTTACTCGGCGTATCAATGGCATCACAAAGTTTACGGTACTTGGCAGAGTCTGCTGAAATGGAAGATGAGCACAGGCGGTCGTTTTCAAATGCAGCAAGAATTTCGATTTTAATTTGTATAAAAAAGAAAAGAATTTAGTAATTTGTCACAAAAAATTTAAACAAAAAATTTAGTCTCAAAAAGTAAGTAATATTCTACCCACGCAAATCTAAATGTTATTACCCGTTAGCGAATTGGCTGCCTGTTGTCCTTTTAGTATACCGGCATATGAATTATCCCGCACTGGATCTGGATTTTGTAAGACGCAACGTGGAATAGGGCTCTTTTTACTTTTCGCTTCACTGCCGCTGCTGCTGGCATTTGTATTTGTACTTGAAATTGTAGTTGATGGTGTTGTTGTTTTTAATGTGCTACTATCAATGCTATCAATTTGGTTAGTGGTGGTGGTGCTGCTGCTGCTG